GTTTACGATTTTTTGAGTATCGCATGTATAGTTCTGGTCCTATTGAAATAATAAAAATATGAAAAAGAGTGCCATTAAATGTGATTTGTTAGTTCTAATTTGGAATATTCTAAGAGTCTAGTCTATACATACCAATGGGATGGTTATGCTCATTAATCATTTGCTTGACAAAAACTTGTGTCTTATTCTTTGACAGACTTGCGTGTATCTTAGCAGGGCGTTCTTCTTTGGTCGATCTGCAAATAGGCATCTTTTTAATATGCTAGCACTGAATTATTGAATATTTTGGGATTTAAATCTGATAGATCTAGTCTCAATGTCATCTATTTTTACATTCCAAAATATTCAGTTAGTTTAAAACCTACTTCTGTATCTAACAATACAGCACTAACCACCAAGGTGTATATTATAACTATAGATCAAGATAGCTTTACTTACGAGGTCTGTCTTCTTGTGTCAAATATGCTCTATCGAGTCATACCGCACATAAATAGATATAGCCACAGCTACAGAATGACTTGTTTGGTCTAGGGTTTGTCTCGCTGGACAAGAGGTCCCTTAATAGTTAATATTGTGTTTATTAATGTTATGTTATTATTATTGGCTGACTGCCGATATTTGGCTCAGTGAAAAAGGTTTAAAATTATGACTAAGTAATTAACTCAGTTTCACAATCGTTTAACTTTTAATACATGAATTATTGGCATTGGAGTAATGACACAACTTAGCCTGGAATGGGCGACTGATCTTCAGGGCGGCGTGGTCACACTTCCTCACACTCAGACCTCTGTACTGTCTAAGTTTTAGCCCCAAGCTGGCCGGCTGTAAAATACATGTGACAAACTTCCTAACATCTGTGTGATATACATTCATTCAGACACATACAAGTTTACAATTGTTACAAAGATAATACATTTACACTAGCCTTACGTAAGGCCTACGACAAACATTACTAGAAAATATGCTTTTCATTCATACATTGTTTTATACTCATTCCATACTTATTAATAATTAATATTATAACAGTACAGCTAATAAAAGTGTTAATTACCTTCCAATGAAGCCACACAATCCTCTACACACGTTGCCAAACGTACGTTTAATTTCTCCGTGGAGAACAAGTGCCGTAGCACCAAAATAAGTATAATATGTTATGTTGGCTAGTGCCTTAGCACCAAAAAAACGTGTACCTCCAAAGAGGGGAGAAGGTAGAGTGACCGGACTGTAGCGTCCCTACCCTACAGGTCACATGACTCAGTCTCCGCCCCCATGACCGCAGTCCGAGGTCGAGGCCCGGTCAGCCTTACGATACCGCTGGTCTCGGGTCCAGGTGTGTACCGTTACCTGTGGGGTAGCAAGAAGGGGGAAGAGGTGGAGACACCATGATAGATATTTATAATCTATCATAACACTTCTCCCCTGTCCTCGCTGCTGAAAGGTGCCATGGTGGGAACATCTGATTGTGTAGTATGTGAACACCATGGCGGTAGCACAATTTTGCCTTCCTTGATGGTGCATTTTTTAGCAGATGTTTTTACCATCGGCTGATAAGTTTCCTCACAATAATTCTGCATAGCGCAGAAGAAATTATCCCAGGTAGCAAAAGTATCACTAGCTTTAAAAGGCATTTTAATTATTGTGTGAAGAATGAATTCAGGAAGCAATCGAGAGAGGCTGTCTTGAAACAAGAGAAACTGTACAGCCCGGGAAACATTCTTATTTGCGAGATCTTAAATAATTCCCGATTGTGTGATACGCATTGTCTGACTTACCCATCACGCTGAGCGAACTACGTAGTTAAGTCACTTCGTTAAAAATGGTACTTAACTAAACTATTGTAACCTTAATGCCACCTAGATTCTAGATCTATAAGATAACAGTAAACTATTGAATGCTCTAATCCCCTAAATTAAAAAAAAATCCCTACTGCTAAAATCATTCAAAAAATGTACAATTACAAAATACAAGTAATCCCTTACAAAAACAGGAAAAGAACTAGATCCTAGAGGTCTATCACCTTTAGACACAGTGTGAGAATTCTCAAGAGCAATCTTTTGTTTTACTCTACTTAATAATGGCTTATGAGGTCTGGTGCTATCTTGTAAGTGTGAAAGTGGAGACAAATTCTTCTTAGTGCCAGCTTTGAATTATTGGTGTATATTCACTGTATATGGTCTGTCTACTGGTTGTCAATTTAAAAATAATTACTCTGCAAACTGATCATCCAAGAGAAGGATTTGCTCAGCTGCAAAAATAAGCAATGTTTTTATTATTTGTATCCTTAAAAAATGCAATATAAATGCTACGCCATTAACTCAACCCTGTTTCCCCTCGTTACATATCGTCACATAAAGCCAACGCTCACAATGATGGGGATGTCAATAAACAATCAGAAAGTGGTCACCACTGCTTTGACATAACAAATAGCATCCAGCAATGGCAAAATTTTGAATTTTATGTTACTAATACACCTTTATTATGAAACTTTTTTTAAATTTCTTGACATGGAACAAAGTTCACAGATTGTTCAGATTGTTCTTGGAAATACCCTTTCCAGGCTAGCTATCTCTGATAAGTCCTTAATAAGTCTTTATGTGAATAGTTGCTGGATTATATAAATTTATAAATGAACGGTTTTTTAAATTTTATTATACATGACAGCAATCTCATTGCCAATGAATGAGAGCAAATGCAACCAACTGGGGTGGTCCCAGTCCATCAAGAACAATTAATCTAATTAATGGCATGCCACTGTTGTTCACACAATAAGTGCAGTCCAAGCACACTAGTTCTGGAAATTTGGAAAAGGTTTCCCTCATCTTGCTGGATTGAAAAAAATACTTCAGCTCATTTTTTTGGAATTTAGTCCATAGTCCATAGTCAGCAATAAAGCCTGCATCACCCCTTCTCCGCTCTTCAATTAAATTTACCAGCATTTCTGCATCATTTCTTGTTTTGCCAATCACACTGCTGCATTTTCCCTTTTAAAAAAACAAAATTAATTCAAGGGTGCAGCTTCTTCATTGTGGAAACCTTGTTTAATTCCTATTTTTAAATTTGTAAGAGGAAAACAGGCCTTATTTAAATTTTTTTTAAATATGTAGGCCCTTGACTGGTTACAACTGATGTAAACCTTTTAGCCTTTTTAACCCTAAGGTACTTGTCTTTATACATGTACCACTTCATCTCTATATGGCTCAAGACAAGAGACTTGAGTGCAGGAGAAAAAAAATTCCTTCTTGTGTCAACAGAACAGAGGTATTTAGCAAAAATATGGCGGCCTTTTGTTAGTGGTGCCAACAATTTTTTAAAAACCTTTACAGCCATGGTACTGTGGATGTCTATGTCTGGATGGTAAGAAGTCACAGAACCGTAGTACTTGAACAAATCGACATGCCACGTCTTAGTGTCGCACAAGCCAGATGTTTTTATATGATATTTAGAAGGGTTTGTGGCATTGAACTGTTTGTTCTTTCACCCTCCCTTATATCCACTGACCATTTCATCGACAGATAAATTTAGACCGGGGTAAAATGCACCTTGCCAATCTTTCCCCTATTTCTTTTTAATAGTTGTACTGTAGTATGGTGATGATTGGATGCATTCGGTCGCCGCTTTTGGCTGGAGTCTAAGTCTCCAAAATGGTGCTCACAAGCTAAATTTGTTACATGAGCAAACCCTGTTCTTTGTAGCTCAACAGAATTAGGATTTTGGCTGTATTTTCCTCCTGGAAGAAAATCTTGGACTTGTGCTTCTAAGCAGTTTTTAAAACCAACTGCAGTTACAATACATTTTAAAAGGCATTCATGATCCAAATTATTTGTCTCGACTGTCTTTTTGAGGAGCACTGCCACATAAACACTCTAATAGTGTTGATAATTCGTAGTGGCTCCTGGATACATTCATTGACAAAATTGTGTAACGGTGCAAAAAGTTCAGCTAGCTCAAGGTACTTTATGTGACCTGCAGTAATTATTTCCCAAAGTGGTCCTAAAGTTGCTAGCACTCGATGAATTGTGTTGTCTTGCAAATCAAGGAGTAGAGATTGCAATTTTCTATTAGGTGTTTTAACTGAATTAAGAATAAATACAAAGTCGTTCTTATGAAGTAAAATCTGGTATGAAACTTCAAACAGGCCATTAAATCTGTTATCTTTATAATTCGTAATAAGTGGTTTTACTGCTTTTTTGGCACAAAGTGCTTCCCACTCATCCCTTAAACCAATATGGTCTCCAATAGGCCCAAAAACTTCGGATGCCATCCTACATACTCTTGAGGCAGCCAACGCAAAATCATATATCGCCTGAATTTCTTTAAATTCTTTAGCACAGTAAGTATGGAAACCTAAAACAATACATTTTAAAAGGCATTCCTGATCCAAATTATTTGTCTCGACTGTCTTTTTGAGGAGCACTGCCACATAAACACTCTAATAGTGTTGATAATTCGTAGTGGCTCCTGGATACATTCATTGACAAAATTGTGTAACGGTGCAAAAAGTTCAGCTAACTCAAGGTACTTTATGTGACCTGCAGTAATTATTTCCCAAAGTGGTCCTAAAGCTGCTAGCACTTGATGAATTGTGTTGTCTTGCAAATCAAGGAGTAGAGATTGCAATTTTCTATTAGGTGTTTTAACTGAATTAAGAATTAATACAAAATCGTGCTTTTTAAGTAAAATCAGGTATGAAACTTCAAACAGGCCATTAAATCTGTTATCTTTATAATTCGTAATAAGTGGTTTTACTGCATTTTTGGCACAATGTGCTTCCCACTCATCCCTTAAACCAAGATGGTCTCCAATAGGCCCAAAAACTTCGGATGCCATCCTACATACTCTTGTTGAGGCAGCCACTCAAAATTGTAGCCTGCAAAATCCTGGTACATAGCTCAACCTAATTTTCCATATATCGCCTGAATTTCTTTAAATTCTTTAGCGCAGTAGGTATGGAAACCTAAAAGAATATGTTCTGTGCAGAAAAAGGAGTTCATATAAAGTACATTTTCTGCCCCTGAACTTTCTAAAACATCACTCCTCCAGGCTTCAATACATTCATTTGACTTTTTTCATTTGCTGCCCTGTCATTCATAAAGTATGACATCTTTAACAGGATATCAACAAGTTCATCCTCCTTGTTACCATTAAGGTATGCGACCTCTTCTATTTTAGCTGATACATCATTAGCTATAGCCTGGCCTGTTTCTATGGCTACGGTTGTAAACCCCAGGCTGAAAACTTTACCTGTGTTTAATAGAACACTTGTCTCAAGTATTTTTTTCCTTTTACGGATTGTCCCATCCTTATGTAAGCCAGACAGATATATGTTTTTGCCAGTGTGTGGCCTTCATCAGCTATAAGCGACATGCTTCTTTGCATGGAAGCTCACTATCTTGAATTTTTCTTCCTCCGAGCATATTAACACGTTTAGACTCTCCAGAGACTAATTTCTGTGTCAAGGCATTTTGAAACCTTGTTGGTGCACTCCTCTTTTATCATATCAACATCGTGTGGTTACAGCGCAAGCAATGCATTATACGTTTTGCTGTCTCTACCACTAACCATAGTTGTATACCGTAAATTCTTTTTCAAGGAGCTACAACACCGTAGCTGCCTTAATTTCAATTAGCCCTGAAGAGCCACTGTGGTTGATGCTGCATTTATTTTTGTGCTTGAGGAACCACTCATCATAGACAGTGGGACCCATTAAGAAATGCGACCTCTTCTATTTTAGCTGATATGTCATTAGCTATAGCCTGGCCTGTTTCTATGGCTACGGTTGTAAACCCCAGGCTGAAAACTTCTCCTGTGTTTAATATAACGCTTGTCTCAAGTATTTTTTTCCTTTTACGGCTAGTCCCATCCTTGGGTAAGCCGAAATTGTCGCAGCTGGCCAGACGTTGACCGATATGTTTTAGCCAGTATGTGGCCTTCATCAGCTATAAGGTGACATGCTGCTTTGTGTGGTAGCTCAATATCTTGAATTTTGGTGCTAAAAATGTGTTTTGCAACAACTTGAATGATGGGATGAATTTAACGAATTTTGGCTGTAGCTGTTTCCAGCCCTAAAAGTTCCAAAACACACAACCTTTTCAGATTTTCTTATGACAATGTAAAAAATTGTTTATAAAGATTAACCAATATATACATATTATTTTCAATTGAACAGATAAATTACATCAATATCAGTTATGAAAACTAAATCAAAGCATGTGTACCCTCTAAGGTAAAAAAGCGAAAAACATCATTTTTAATTAAAAACCCCAAATGCCTTCAACAATAAAGTAAATTGATCGTTGAAAATACACATAACATACATAATACGAAGAAAAATGACGGTATTAAAAGCCAGAAGACTATTTACAACAGCTAAAATGCTCCAGCAGAATAAGGTCTGCCTTCCTGCAGCTCCATTTTGTGCTGTGCTCTGGAGCTTGCTACAGCCATTTGGGTCCTCCTCCTTTTCGCCTCCAAAGAGCTTTTCCTCTCTGAGGTGCTTATGCTGCGCTTATCCCTCCTGGCAGCCATGACTTGGGAAGAAGCACTGTAGGAACAGCCAATGCTGTGCATAAAAGCAGGAAGACTGCTAATGCTACAGCAATTTCTATCCCCTCCTTCCCTACGAAAATGTGCTTTGGACAACGTGCCTATATGCATGAATGCAGGCTTTCATTTGGGTTTTGTGTTAAACCCATCATGCATCTGCTCAAGAGTGAATCAGTGGTCAGTCGCTCATATATATCCCGGACATGCTTTGCAACATGTTCAGAGATAAATGATGAGCTCCTGCCTTCGTGAGGTGGTGTTGAATTATGTGCCATAGCACGATGCCAGAAGCACCAGGAGGATTTCCCTGCTGGTGTTGGGGACTTCCATAGGTCGAAGATGAATGATAGAAGGCACACCAAATATTCTTTCTTAGCTCCTCTACTGTGGCTGGCTTACTGGATACTGCTTTCTTGTAGTAACTTTGGAGGAGGTTGATTTTAACCTAGGGAGAAAAAACTAAAATATTCATTACTTCTTTTGAAAAAAAACACTATAATTTGAGCACATTTGCTAATTTAGTTACCTGTGTAAGGCTACCAACTTTTCTTCCAAGTGTGTTACCACGTTTTGACTCTCCAGAGAATTAATTTCCAAGGGCTGTGTCAAGGCGTTTTGAAACTTGATCGGTGCATGTTTCAGTAATGGAGATTCATGGTCTTGCTGAATATTATGCTAAAGTTATTTCACCAGAACATAAATATGCCTAATCCCTGAACACCTTTTCCTTAAATAGAGAGACGGATACCAGCACAAGTAGATAGAAGACCGTGCAGGCTAGAAAGAAAGAATTGGCTGCAGTTTACTAGTGAATGTGCTGTGCTTGTTTCAACAGAAGGGCAAGACTAGCTTGACTGACAGGGCAAGAGTGAACCATTTGTGTAATGGTGTTGAAGGAGGAGTCTTTTTTAAAACAGAAACAAAGCATAATGGCCCCTCATGTAATGTTGAGAACGCTCGTGTCAACGCTGCCTGAACTCTTCTATTGCCCATGGATATTGTCTTCGGGCATTGGATCCATATCAAATGGTTTAAGCTTTCATTGGTGTTTTGTGTACCACCATGGATAAGTCTTTTTAATAAGCTGTCATCAGCTGGTAGATGGGAAACCATTTGTGGTCACGGGTAGAGATAATTATCTAGAATTGCCTGTGCTCTGAATTTTGCCAGTGCTTTTTTGAAAAAAAACACTGTCGATCCCTGTGGGACATTGATGGTGCCTGGGCTCATTGTCGTTGACATGGAGTGATATAGTGTGCTCCATACACCATTTTACATCAATGCTATATCAGGAAGATTGGATAAAATTGTCCCTCCTATAAAAATTTTGTAAATTGTCACACTTGGCTTCAGTTAGTCTGTCAACACTTCTGCCACCAACCCTTTCATTTTTTTGGTTGGTTTTCTAAGAGCTGTGCCCATTCTTTTATCGGCATGATTAACGCAATCAAGCTTTTTCACTTCATAACCAAGGTATGGATCAAATTCACATACAGCTTTGAAAGCAGATGAGTCACCATCGCACAACATTTCTAAGTACCTCAAGCCAAACCTTTCTTCAGGACACCCCCCCCCCCACTGCTGAAGCTGCCTCCATGGATTTGCTGGAACCATTGTGGTTTTTGCAGCAGTCAGTTTGGTGTGACTCCTCCTAAGCTTCTCGTTCATCATCTGGCATCGTCCTTTTCCCTGCATGTTTGCAGGTGTGGCAATATTTACTCAGCACATGACTATCAAGTACAAGCCCATTAAGTATGTCGATGATTGTACCAATGCCATATAGGGAGGTGAAGCCTCCTTTGTGCCATGTCCCATCATAGGACACACTGATGTTTATAATGGGTTCTTCTCCGGCATCTATGGCAGCTTTCAAAGCTTCATCTCTCTCTTCGTAAGCTTGTCATACAACAGCTGCAGCGTGCTTCACATATAAATAAATAATTAAATAAATATATATATATATATATAAAAAAAAATATTTAGTATATGCATTACATTAACATAATCTTGTTTTGCATCATGTCAACTAAGGTCAGAATGTACCTGTACCCCTTAGTAGACATGGGATTGATCAGATCGACTATGTCTATTGCTACCATACCCCAGATTTTGCTTACTTCCTCCATCATTTTTAAAGGAACCCGTCCCCCTGCCCTAAGTTTCTTGAGCTTTTGACAGACATCACAAGTCTTACAATAGTTAGTTACTGTCTTTCTTATACCTGGCCACCAAAACTGCTCCAGTATTCTGGACCTGGTTCTAGCCACGCCCATGTGAGCTGACCAGTTATCATGCGCTACCTCGAGTACAGCTTGACGTAACTGTGTAGGAACTACTAGTTGCTCCACCTCATCGCCTAGGCCGTCGGGCGCTGTGTAACTTCTTACCAATAGACAATAGACCGTGAGGGTGAGTGTTGGTTAGGGGGCTGGTTAGCGAGCCGTCTCACATCATTAAGTGTTTTGTCTTCTGCTTGCATCTGTTTAAAATTATCAACAGTGATGTCTAACTCAGTAACAAACCTGCTAGTTTGCACTGTCACTTGGGATTTCTTAGCCTTGTGTCGGGACAACTCAATCCCTGTGTCGGGACTCTCATTTACCACATTTAGACTCTCCAGAGACCTATTTCTGAGGCCTTTTTTGCTTTATACCGTAACTTGTTTAGCAAGGAGCTCAGCCACGTCACCTTAGCTGCCTCAATTTCCATTAGCCCTGAAGAGCCACTGTGGTTTATGCTGCACTCATGGTTGTTATACCACACATTGTATGCAGCTTCACTTATCTTTTTCTTGGTAGCTCCAGTAACTGCACACCCTTATAATTAAAAGAATACATTATTGCTCATTTTATAAACAAAGAATTTTGTTTTATAGCTTGGGAATAAATTCTATAAAAAAAAATGCAGCCACACAGTGTTTTGAAGTGTGCCCTCTTTTTTGCCATGAGCCATCAAAGCTTACTGCAATATCCACAACTTCTTTTTTATGCACCAAGTCAACTGCCCTATTGAGAGAAATCTTTTGACAAAGGCAATTTCGTTCAGGATATTGGAGTATGACGACAAATGCTAGGTATTCTAAATGAAACTAACTAATACAGTAATCAGAAATCTTAGAGCAGGTTCAAAAAGACAGGTCAATATGCTGATTGGGTAGCATTGTAATTAATAGTCAATATCCTGGTTGAGTTTGTCTTCTAGTAGAAATGTGGCTAATAGCAAATTTCCTTGTTTAGAAAGTCCTCCATGAGGTCAGGCTCTAGTGTATAAAATGTAGATCTGGCAGCATCAATCATGTTACGGAATCTTGTTAGGGCCCCTTCCATCAACCTTGACTCCAACATCTACCTTTTGATAAAGCTAATTCATTAGTATTTCAAATGTACTATCTAGATCTAGCATGTACTGATAGTTAAATACTAACCTGTGACCACATGAAATTTCCTTCCTTTCTTAGATGTTATAACTTTACAAAGATCTTGTTGTTTCTATTATATGTTTTGGGAAGGCCTTTTGGTCTACCCTTCCCTTTGTGCAGATATCTTTCTTTGATATCAGTTTAAGTCTCATCTATGTAATATTATATAATATAAAAGCTTTTATGAAGGTTTAAAGTAATGAAAGCTCCCTATATGGAAAATATACAAATCTATTGTACAGTGAACTATTAATACTATTAATTATCATTGTTGTCTGAAACTCCATTCCGGCTATTAAACTTCTGAATTTTGAGAAACTAACACCACTGTCTTTATAGTCTTTGAAATAGTTCTTGTCACCTGTTGTGGCCTTTTCTTAGTCTAAAAGATTATTCCTTGTCATGATGTCAGCCGGTAGTTTGTCATACATTTTGGATTCCAGTCAAATGACATGTTTTAAAGTCTTTGCATTTCTTTTCAGTTTCATGAATCCTATGGCATTTAACCTTTCCCAAATTTAGCAAGATTTGCTAGTAAGAGTTACCTGTTGACTGAATGTCAGAGAGAAGTTGCATTAGGTCGTTAGGCAAACAAACAATAACTAATTGGACCCAGTGTAATATATGTATCACAATTTCTAAGAAATTTGCTAGCAATGACAACAGGGTTAAAATCAAATAACTTGTTGGATCAACAGAGGAAATGTTTCCTGTTGCAATATATTTAATCTCCTGAATATTTCAGAGAGAAATTGCATTTATTTCAAGTCATGTCTTGAAAGGGAAATAACTCTGGTTTATACACATTTTAGAACATAACATCTCTGTTGCAATATACCTTCATATCTCCTGAATATTTCAGAGAAAAGTTGCATTTATCTTCAAGAGCCATCTCTTGAAATTGAAATAACACTGGCTCATACAAATATTAGAACATAACATCTAATGCAATATACTAAAATCTCCTGACAGTTATGCAATGCTGATTGTAAATTGTACCAGCAATTTTGTTGTTCAGTTAACTCTCAAAGCATGTTTTTAGTAAATCAATTTATTCTTTATTCTTGAAAAACTTAAATCATCTTGACATTACTTAGAGTAACTTTTTGTGTGATTTTAGCCCATTTTGACCATAAAACATGCAATTTTTTCCAGAATTATGATTAAAGCTTTACTTAAAATACACAATCTGAATTATAATTATTTAAAACCAATAAAACCTTCTTTTTTATGAATTTTTACCCATTTTCAAAAAAGTAGTAGGGGTAGGGACAAGTTCACAAG